GGAAGCGCAGAGGCTGCCAGGCTGCAGCGGGGAGAAGGGTGGTGTGTGACGGGTCAGGACAAGCCGTTCGCCTCCACCAGAACCAGCTCAGGAGCTCTTGAGCCCACACCTCGAGTTTTTCTTGATTTTTGAAGGTGTGCCCACGCAGCGCCGAATCTCCTCTTGTCACCTTTGCCGTACATGCACCAGAATGGAGGAGCCTGGTTTTACTAAACATAAACCCAGCAGTAGCCCCAGAAGATAGACTAAACTTCTGTTAAAAACCACCCTAAAGCTCACGTTCTCCCTTTGTGGGCAAAAGGTGTGTAGGGCTTGAGCAGCCAATACAGGGCTTTGGTTGGAAAGGTAATTCCACCCCACACTTAGAAAAATAAATCCCAGAAAACCACCACCCATTTCTTGGCTAATCGTTCATCTAGTAGAAGAAAAGCCTGTTTAGTTTCTAGCTTTCTCAAGTGCATCCAGGGGATTTTTGCCAGGAATGCTGGACTAATCCCAAAATAAAAACAATGCTGTATCTGGCTGTATATGACAAGAAGCAGCTTTTCAACATTGTTTTTGAGTGAGGAGTAACTCACACAGACTGAGATAAGTGCTTTGGAAGGACACCCATTTCTACACTAAATTCATCTGGAAACAGTTGAAGGGAACTATCCAGACACCACTGTGGGTTTTCCACAGCATCAGTCTGACAACGTGACCAAGAACTTACAAAGTCTGAGAAAAATACACAGAAGATACACACCAAAGATATACAGGTCTGCAGGTTTCTCCATAATGAAAAGGTAACGGGGAAGAACAAATGACCTCTTGCTCTGTTCCTTAAGAAATCCCACATTCTCCACAGCTCTATGTACTAAAAGAAGTAATCCAATACAATAGTCTCAATTTATTTGAAATAATTCGGTTTGAAAACTTCTTTAATTTAAAATTTACAGCACAAGTGGGGAGGAAAGATGTTTTGTTACAACTAAAAATTATCAGAAGAGTGCTGCAGGGTTGTTTTCTTTAATTTAACACTGTCATGGCTTTATTCAAAACACAGTTGCACAAAATCAGTTACTCCAAAGTTTAAGGAAAGAGTTTTGATAAGGAACCGAAACACACTATATACATACTGCCATACAAAGAGCATTAAAATAGGACAAAACCTCTACAAAATATAAAACCCACCCTTACATATTTGCATGAAAAGACCACCCACCAAGCAAAAAAGTTTCAAAAGTTAATCTGGAGGCTCTGTATTACTGATTTTTTTTTATTTTTTTCCCTAAAAAAAACGCTATGCTGTCGAGTTGCATGCCAAGCTGACAAGAGAGGAAACTCTACTTAGATGGTGACAGGGAGGAAAGGACAAGAGTTACTTGGGGAGTTAGGTTTTGTGGGAGGCTCAGATTTTCAGATGTAAGGGCTGATGCACCAACCCTGCAAGTTGTTTTTTAGGAAGCGTTAAGTCTGCGTTATCTTGGGGAAGATCTAACCCCAGAGTTTACTCTGCTTTGTCCAATTAGCTCCACGCCACAATTGGACTCAAACCAAGACCGGTATGCAAATGATTTTAACCCATCCAAATAAAGGGTTTTTCCCCCATTTCAAACTCGTTTTATATGCATCAGGTGAAGGAGGACCCTGACAGTGAGGTACTTTACTGTACACGCATATAAATAAGAGGCTTCAATCAGAGACTAAAACTAAGCAAAAAAAAGATGGGGGAAGAAAAAAAAAAAGACACTTTTCTACCTCAAAGCTGAGCACAAAGCAAGTGCCTTGAACACAGAGCCTCCACGACACGATAGGATGTGCACTTACCTAAGGTTCTAGTCATTCAGTATTCATACACAAAACACAGGAACTCCAGGTTGTGGTTGCAAATGTAGTTTTACCACTATTTTTCTAGTGTCTTTACAGAGAATTCATTTAAAAAAAAACCAAAAACAAACAGAAAATGCAAACCCTGTTCAGAGTTGGTTCATTTCCAAGCCTGACGAGTCTCATCCCGATGCCGTTAATGGCTGGCGATGCTTCACAGCTATATGAGAAATTATGATTTAAGGCTCTATTTGAGGGGGGAAAAAAAAACCCAAAACAGCCACACGCACGAGAAATTGGGCTTTGCAGAACTTCAACCCTGCAGTATCTAAACTTAAGAGCTGGAAGTCACGTTTCAAGTCTGCTAGTGTGTGAAATACCTATTAAATATTTACAGGTAACCGATCCGTGGGCGACTGACTCTTCCTCAGGTCCTGGACATCTCCCTCTCCCCCACCCTTGGGTGTCTCCCCCAGTTTCATGGCAGCTATTGTCAGCCAAGACAGATATAAAAATAAGTCTCTTGAATAAAGCTGTGTGTGATATTTGGTTCAGTACCTACGTGAAACAATGGAAGTTAGTTTTATATCGCTACTGGTTTCATTCCAATTTGTGACTGAAGAGGAATTAATCCAATCTTGTTTCAGTGGCTCAAACAGAAAACATCAATCTGTTGGGGCAGAATTATTACAACCTGTTGGTCACAACCAGGCTGCTAGAAAAGAAAAAAAAAACTAATCTGCACACCTCCTATGGTGGCCACCGACTACAGCAACTTTCTGCAGCCATTCAGTATAAAAAAACCCCTAAACTATCACCTAGTCTGGAACGTTTTGCCTACAACCAGATTTAAAAAGCTTCAAAGGTGACCTGTGAAGAAAGGTTACCTCACCTTCATCTCTACCCCTTCAATGAGTCTATAAAAGTGGGGGGATTGGTTAAAAAAAAACCACCAAATGTGCCTGAAGGAGTTACCCGTTAATGCCTGCATTAGAAATGCATCTATTTTATAGCCAAACACCATGATTGCTGCACAGTTCCCCAAAAATAACAATGCAGGAGCAAAGTGAGTGGAAGTTTAACAAAGACTTCTAGAAAAATGGTTTGAAACAGATTATTTGCTTTTGTTAATACAGTGCTATGCGTTCTGACAAAAACTCACAGATTACAGCTTGCCAAAATACGGTCTTGAAGGTATCTAGTGAACACTGAACAAGCAGGAAAAAAAAGGAACCTTCCAAAACCCACTCAGGCTTTACAACGTAACACACAAAATGGGACAGAAGACTTCAAAAAAATGTTACAGGAGTCACTTGAAAAGCTGAGATAAAGTTGTGATCTCGTTATTGATTTCAAATGGAATCCCTGGTAAACTCAGGATCCAAGTCAACTCCTTTAAAAGAGACTGGAATTTGTTTTGAGTTCAGCGTTGAAGTATAAAAACCTGAAAATCTTGAAGGAAATTCACACTATTAAACCCACGGGAAAGGGGTGGTTTAACTCCGGGCTGACAGTGACCAACACAGCAAGCCTGTATAAAATTAAAAGAGCTCCAAAGAAAAAGTCTAAAAGGGGGGAAAAGAAAAAAAACAAACCTCGACAATGGCTTCAGTGATTATAGGGTTGAAAACTGGTTTCTACATATAGATCACTAACAGGCTATTAGATCTTATTTGGAATGATAAAAAGGGCAAGAATAGTAAAACCACACTTCTCCTATAAAAAGTTAACATACTCTCCTCTGCAGGGACATCTATGGTACATGGAGACAGAGCTGCATAATCACTATTGCGGATTCCGAAACCGAGGAGTCTGGTCCTACTGCTGTCTAGAGCAAATTAATCCTCCTCTTCCTCGCCTTCATCTTCGGGGTCTCGTTTCCTCTTCTCCCCTCGGACGCCTTCTGCTGAGGGAAAGCGGCAGGACACAGCTCAGACACCGTCCTGGGAATGTCAGACGTGCAGAGGAAGGGCCCTGGAAGGCTGTTTGCCATCGAGGCGATCGCTGCTGTGCCCTCTCTGCAGCTCACAGCTCTCAAAGAAACCTTTCACATCACTCCCCACACCTCACACGGGCCATGTTAAGCCAAGTTCAAGCTAAACCCATCATGTTCCATACAGATGTTACTGATATGATGTAGATTTATAAAAAAACCCCTTTGTCTGCATGGATCTGAGAACTAAAAAGGAAATTTTAACCTTTTAAACGCCATTTTTTCTACCTCCCTAACTAACTTTAGTTCTGACGTTGCCCACACCCTGCCCTCAACCCAGGGGTTTCTGGAGGTACCAAGTGAAACGCTCCCACTCCCCCTCTGCCACCAAACCCAGGACACCTCTGAGCTCCTCCTCAGGAGCAGCCTCAACCCGTGGACTGTGCGCTCTTGTGGTGAAACCATGAAATGCAATTTGGCCAAATCTGAAGGATTTCTTCTCCAGCAATTGTTTCCTGGCTAACTGACCGTCCTGACCACGGGGCTTTGTTCTCTGAAGAGATTTGAAGGCTGTATTTGTAAAAATTGCAGGGTTTTTTTCCAAGCAGAAGATGCCTCTCCAAGAAGGAAACCATTAAGCCAAGTGTAGGGACAAGGTGGGAACTCGTCTGGTGAGAAATTCCTGAATTTGCCTACACTCTCCCCAGACTCCAGGGCGGAGAGATTAACACCAAACTTGGCTGCTAGGGACTGTTTAAGGATTCGGGCAGAGTTCCTAACCACCAGAAAAAAGTGAACTCCTGGGAGAGCCTCATCCAGAGAAACCTTGTACTGCTAATTTAAAGATGAAAGGTGGATGATTTTCTTTTTCCAGGGACTTCAGCAGCCATGGAGGCAGTAACAGGGAACTCCTGCCCAGTGTCTTATCTCACCACATGGAACACAGAGATGCATCCAGCCAAGCCACCCACAGACCACAGCATGCCAAGATCTGCACAAGAGTCAAGAACAAGCCCCTGGGCCTGTCGAGCAGCCTCAGTCCCAGTGGTGCAGAACACAGCAGGGCATCGAACACGAGGCTGGTCCCCACCCCAACAGCCTGAAAACCTCAACTGAGGGGCAAACAAACCCATGAGCAATGGGTTTGCCCTGTTTAACTTCTTGCAGGTCCTTTTTAAACTACCAAAAGATAAAATAAAAAGCTGTTTTGTGAAAAAATACTCCAATAACTTCTTGCAAGCAGAACTTTATGTTCTGTGAAACGCCAAAGAAGAGCATCCACCTGCCACACCACGTTTTCCACACCCTCCATGTGCTGAACCTTCTTCAAGCAGAAGGAACCAGACACCAGTTTGGGTTTTTTTTGGCAACCTTTTGACTATTATCCATGTCTGACACCAAAGCAGTAACTGATGAAATTTAGAAGTTACAACTATTGATTAAAAGACTAGATAGAAAATAAAACCCCCATGGTTTCAGTGACCAGCTGAGCTGTTAAGATAGGACACAGGGTCGAGTCTTCCTCCAGGAGCTGCCTCTGCAGTGGGAAGGTTACTGGAGAAGCCACTTTCAGCTTGATAAAGGGCAAAGACACAGCAGCTACTGCTGCTTCCACCAGCAGAGCCTCTGGAGCACGGGCCAAGGTGTTTGACAGGTATGGAAACAACATCTGCAAGGGGCACAGGAGGGTCCTGCTCCTCCCTGGGCTGCAACATTTACATTTCTGAACGTGTAGGAGAGGAACCATCTTTCATTTTAGAAAACTGCTTCAGAGAGAGACCTGAAGCCTGTTGTTTGTGCCTTTATTTTACAAGTATGCAGCCAAAAAATATCAAATACTGCACAGCTGCTTTACTACCTGCTCAAGCTCCTGCTTAAACCCATCCTAAAATACTTCACATTCCCCCAGCTACAGGCCAAAGAGGGATTCACATCCCCAACTAGCAATGTGACAGGATTATAATCATTTGATTTATTCAAAACTTTAAAACTTGAGAGAACTTACCTTCCTCCTCCTCATCACCTCCTTCCTCAACATAATCATCATCATCATCTTCATCCTTTAGGAAAAATAATGGTGAAATAAACAGCAATTGAAAAATATTTCAGTTTTGCTAATAAATCCTGAGCAGGAATTCAGAAAAACCCCACTCTTCACATTTCACACTTCAGTTTTGTTACTGGACACCTGTACCAGGACAGGCACCAGGAGGGACCCTGGTACATTTATCAGGCCCAGAATTCTCAGATCTTTGTTTTTCCCACTTAGCTTTACCTTACAGCAGCTCAAGAGTAACTTATTGCCAAATTAACTAAGAACCCACGACAGAAAATGGAGATGCCAACAGCTTTGGTTTGCCTTGGGACCCCATTAAAGGACAAGGAGAAGAAGAAAGCAGAACTCTTCACAAAATTATTGTTCCTATGTTAAATGAATCAAGTTTTTGGTTTTTTTTTAGTGGGTTGTTTGGTTTTGACCCCCTCTGGATTAATTCACTACAATTAGAAGGGGAGAGGATCTCATTTCTGAAAACACAGGGAGAACTCCCAGAGTGGAACTCCTCCAAAACCTCACACACTTCACCCCAACCAGCCCCTGCTCTTGACCTCAAACACCAAACTCAAGCTCAGGGTCTGGTTCTGCTGCCGGGAATGGGCAGGGTGCTGAGCTCCCCTCACAGCACCACAGCTCTGTGGGAATTCTGAGCACATCCACGTGCCAACCACCACACACCAGTCCCTCCTGATTCACTCCAAATTAATTCCACTTCCCAAAGATCTACATCTAAGGCCTGGCTTCAAAACACCTTTAGTTATTGAGTTTTAGCTCCATCAACTGTGTTCCAGCCCTCACCTCCTCAGAGGATTAAAGCAACAACCACCTTACAAGCAAGCACTGGCTGCAAGAACAAAATGACAAACTCCACAGAATTTTGTTGAAGGTTTCCTGCACACCCCAGTGAAATGCAGCTGATGGAGGGAAACGCTCATCCAGAGCAGCAGCACTGGCAGGGATGTCCACAGGGGTTCAGTGTGTGAGCTGCCTGCACAGACCTGCACACAAAATCCACCCCAGGCACCCTGAAACCCCTGTAGCTGTCTGGGGAGGGAACAGAGTCAGGACTCTGGGGTTTTATCTCTAGCCAGTAATCATCCAGTTATCAGGGCCAGTTTATATCTGCTCATAACCTTGGAAAATGGGTCTATTTTCTTATTCTAATACCCCTCCCCTGGCTTTTCAGCACAGTACTCCCCAAAAGATCCTGTGGGCTATTCCCACAGCTCTTCCCAGCACCACTAACAACATTTTTAAGTGAGCACACAGTCAAAAACCAGCATTTATTACAGCAAAACCCCACGGGCTTTTCCTTTGCTTCATTTTACTTGAAGTACTCACAACTTGTGGCTGCTTCCTTCTCTTCTTTTGCAAGGCCAGTGTGTGGTGGTTTTTTTTTTTTGTTTCCCACAAGAAATTCATTTATCCTACTTATTTATTGCTATTCTGACAGTTGAACTGTGCTCACATGCTCCACATGAACACAGCTGTCTGCAGGAACTTTTTCTTCATTTCTTGGACTGGGTGGAATTCACACAAACTTTACCTGAATTTCTTCTTTCATCAGGTATGAAAGACCAACTTCCTCCTCCTCTTCCCCTTCACCCAAATCAGAACCCCCAGCATCTTCATCATCTTCCTCTTCATACTCTCCTGGAGGACCAGCTTCGTGCTCGTCTTCATCATCATCATCTTCATCTCCTTCTGAAATGAAGAACACACCCACCTGCCTCGTGACCTCCTCTTTACACAAGTCTGTATACACCAGGCCAAGCTCATTGTAGCTTTTGTCCAGCAGGGTTTTGGGTTTGGTTTGTTTGGTTTTTAATGCAGGCAAGCATGATTTTAATGAAGTTTATAATTTTTTTCCCCTAAGAAAGGCTACCAATGTTTTTCCATCACAACCTTCGGGCAGAATCCTGGACAGCTGAAGCAGGAGTGGATGCAAATTCCTGCAAGGGAGCTGAAAATTCAGTCTGTGGAAGGGACTAAGAGGCTCCTCTGTAGAATTAAGCCCTAAAATATTTCAAGGCAAAACCACCTTTACAGCAGACGTGCATCTGTTACTTCATCACTCCCCAGCAGCTATGGAACACCTCCAGTTCCAAAGAGACAACCCCTCACCCCAGTTCTACATCTGGAGTGCATCATCACTTCCAGTTTCACACAAGAAACAAGGTGATTGAACACTTCATTTTTGAGTTAATGACCTATTAATCTAGCTTCAAGTCCCAGCTTTATTTTCACATTCCAAGTATCACTTCTTGGGCTTTCAGTGAGTTCTTGTGAAGTTCTTTTAAACTTTGCCATGTCCAAGGACCCACCAGCAGCCCCTCGACAGCCACAGCCCAGCAGCAGCTCCCAGCCAGTGATTTAAGGCACCAAGGAGTCACTGAGAAACCTCCATCACCCACAGGTACAGCCCAAACCTTTGGGGAGGTCAGATCAAAAGGAACTAGGCACGTTTTTTGAACAAAAAGCTGTATTATCGCACCAAGGAGTCACTGAGAAACCTCCACCACCCACAGGTACAGCCCAAATCTTTGGGGAGGTCAGATTAAAAGGAACTAAGCATGTTTTTTGAACAAAAAGCTCTATTATCAAATAATTTGTGTTGGAAGAGACCTTTAAGAGCATTGAGTCCAGATGTTGCCCCCAGCACGGCCAGGTCCCCACTGCCCCGTGTCCCTCACCCCACATCTCCACAGCTTGGGAACCCCTCCAGGGGTGGGGACTCCACCACTGCC